TGTGCTGCGCGTGCAGTGCCGCGCCAACCGGGCTCTCTCGGTGTCTTGCAGAGGCCGCGTACGAGCGCACGCTGTCTGTGGATGGCGAGGAGACCACGCTGCTGGTGATGGACACCTGGGAGCCGGAGCAGCGGGTACAGTGGGGCCGGGGCTGGGCGCTGCGGGGAGCCCGTGCTGCCAGCGGGGCTGGGTGAGCTGGGACCTGCCCGGGGGACGTTGTACGGGCACAGCCGCTGCTTCGGGGCCTCTGAGCACCGCAGAGGTCTCCCTGGGGCTTCCCTGGCCGTGCCCAGGGCTCGCGGCTGCCCTTGCTGCAGAGCAGGGGACACACGCTGGGCAAGACAGGGGCTGGGGTCACATCTCTGACGGGCTCTTTGCCCACCTTTCCCCGGCATGGGAGGCCGCCCACCATGTTCTCGCCAGTGGGGGCTCTCATGGTGAGGTGCCACCAGTGCAGGAGCAGTGGTGTGGGCATAGGGTGTCCCTCGCACGAGGGGCGGGCGGGGGGGGGGGAAGAAGGGGGGAAGGAGTGTGGTGCCAGCCCGCTTCAAAATGCATGGAAATGGTTTGGGAACGGGGCTGAAGGAGCCGGCTGGGCAAATCCACGTGAGGCGGTGCCGCCAGCCGGGACACTTGCTTTAGCAGGCAGAGCGGTGGCCCCAAGAGCCTGGCATGGGGCGTTCCTTCCACCCAGCGCACGGAGGCATCTCCTGGGCAGAAATGCCAGCGCCGCTGTCACTGCCTCCCTCGAAACGCCCCTTTGCCTCCCTCCGTGCCGGGGCCCGGCATTCCCGCGGGTGCCACCGGGCAGTGACCGGTCCCCAGGAGCAGAGATGGAGCCGGTGGCCAGGCTGTGCACGTGGGCACAGCACCCGCGTGGGCTGGGGCTGCGTTTTGCACGTGCGGCTGCGCTGTCCGGAGATGCCCCAGCACCGTAACGCCTCGACAACGGCCCTTTATTTCCACGATAGCTTGATCCCACCCTGCCCCGCAGGGACCGGTGCCTGGTTCACGCAGGGCGCTCCACCCACGACGCCGGCGTTGCGTGGCCGAGGGCGGCTCCAGGAGGTGCAGCCTCAGCCCCCTGAGCCAAGCTGAGCCCACAGCCCCAGTTTGTTGCTGATAGAGGAGGAAACTCTCGAACACCCCCCAAAATCAGGAGCTTTTAATCTGCATTTTATTAATGAGGCCACATGTCTGCTCCCCACAATGCGGGGGCTGGCGGGGTGCGCTGGCAGGTCCCATCGGTGCCGGGGTGCTCCGCTGTCCCCCGGCAGCGGGTGGGG